TTTCATTGACTTCTTTTCCTCTGTCTTGACCCTGTAGTCCTTGGGATGGAATAAAAAGGAATACGGTGGTGGCTGGTTCCCTTCCCCTCCATGCAGAATATTGCTGGTATGGGAACTTAGAGGATATGGGAACAGCCTGCATGTTAACTTCTCATAGACAACAACTTCCGGGTTAATTGTACGACCGAGCTGATGGAGCTGATGCGTCAGGTTGTAGTGCTAAGCTTTCTCAGGCTGGGACTTCTCACAGTTTGAAATGTTGCTACTTTTTTTTTTTCCCCTGCCTGGCTTTTGGGTCCTTCACAGTTTGCAAGGGGCCAACAGTTTACTCACTTATTCTATGAAGACTACGAAGTGCTTAGACTCTATGGCAGTAAGCAGAATGGAACAATGTGGAAGATAAATGTAGTTTTCGATTGAAAATTTACCAAGTTGCTTGTGTCTACCATATTGGTAGTCTCTCTTGCTCCAGAAATGAACAGTGCATTGACTGGTCCACATGCATATTTGTGTGCATGCAGGTCAGGTTCAGAGGTAGCTGTTACTGGTTACCTGCAAGGCCAGTTTCAGATGTACACAAAACCAGATTTGCCTTTGTGGACCCAGTGGTGGTGTAAGCCATGAAGTTGCACTTCAGATAAGGTGTGTGTCCAGTTTTGCCTTTACAGGGACTCATTTTGAAGGTAAGTGGCTGTGAGCTTTGTGCAGTGTGTTGATGATGTCCAGATTGAAACAAATAGTCTTAACTGCAGCGGCGTTTGATGCCCTGCTGCTGCACTTCAAAGATGTGGATTTTGTGCAAATATATCCCAACAGTCAAACTAGCTTGCTTAAGTACTGCTGGCAGGCAAGCTGTGACCTTACAAACTTTCACACAGGTTACAAATGAGTTCTCATGAAGGTATAATTCAACTCCAGGAGTTGCTGTCATGTCTCCATGGGGAGTGTCTGGGTACCTGTTGACATCCTGTGCAGAGAGCAACCCAGTGCTCCAGAAGGCTGTGAGCACTTGCCCTTTTTAGTTTCCAGGAGACTGACCTGCCTCAATCTCCTGTTTGGCAGCACTGAACACAGCCCTGCTTTGGGGTTTCTTGACCGATCAAAGGGAAGCTTTTTGTTGCTCACTTACTTGCTCCTGAAAGAAAAGAGCCAGAGAGAAGAAAGGCTGTCTGCCTCCATACACATCAGAGTCAACAGAGGGGCTTTCATGTTTGCCTTAAACAACTCCCATGCCCCTCCAAAAACTCTCAGCAAGGTCAATTAGAGGAGCATCCTGTCCTGCCTTAGAGCTGTGGGATGAATCACTGCTGTCCATTCCTGGCAGAAAGAGCACTTGAATGCATCTCCTGGGGGAATTCCTTCCAGCCTTTATCTGGCACCTGCAGTCCTTCCATAACAGGCTGCAGCCTGGGAAAAGCAGGCTGCTAGCATGCCAGCTCACCCTGCTTTGCTCTTCCTCAAAAGATGCAAGGTTTTAATGTTCACTACTTTTAGCTGTGCTGGTCCTTGTTCCACTATGCTAGGCTGACTTTTTAAGTAGAATTAAAGGTTTGTTTTAACATGTTTCAGACTGAGGTTTTGGAGGCATTTGGACAGACAAAGCTTACAAGTGAGCTGTTAAGCTAGTTTGGGACAATGCTTATGCTTAGCTGTACTGGATGATTTAGAGGCGTATTTGCTATGTCCTATAAAGCACAGGTTAGCCTGGGAGCTGGTGACCCAAGTTTCGTTTAGCACCTCTCCCTTTGAAGTGGTTGTCTACAGTGAAAATAAGTCTAGAAATGCTTGTAGTCAATGGTGAAACACTGGAGCTTCTAGTCCTAACCTAAGACTAAACCAGGACAGATTCTTTGTGTCCTAGAAGTGGCTGTTCTCCCCATAAATCATAAATGGACACTAGTGACTAGATCGGGAGAGATCTGCATGTGGCCCAATTAATCCCATCTGCCTGCACTTGAGGTGGAAGAAGAAACATCTTTTGGACTGATTATATACCCTGTTCTGAAGTTTTCTGCCTGCAGATTCCTGTTCAGCTCTTTTTATAATACTAAAAGCGAAGAAGTGACAATGAACATTGGTGATGCCATATGAGAAATACTTAAATGAAAGACTCCTCTGAAAGGCTATGAAAGAGAAAAGCAGCCCTT